TCTCAGGATCAACCCCGACACATTTTCACAAAAAAAACAAAAAAAACAAAAAAAACAAAACAAAAAAACAAAACAAAACAAAAACCCAAACAACCACATCCACAGCGCGGGATCCTTTCCATTCTCATACTCTGCGCCCGTCTCTGTCTCTTGCCTCCGTCCTGTCGGCGGCCTTGACGGTGTTGCCTCTGTTGTTCACCAATCCACTGGAACACGATCAACTTATTCCTGCTCCTCACTGCAGCATATGGCGGACCTTCCGAATCGGAACATCACGGGTGGCTTTCCGCTTCAGCTCCTTTATTTTCGCCTTTAGCACACTTATCTCTGCCGCGCATCCTTATACATGCGTATGGAGCAGAGCCAGTTGGGCGTTTTAGCTGACTGCCACCTCATTTGTTCTACTTTGTCAGCCGGTGCGACAGTTTGTGACGCGCGTGCATGTCTCCACACATGAACTTCAAAGTGTTTAAAACCTAATCACCTACTTCACCCACTTAAACCTATCTCCACTTAAAAACCTAACCACTACACCACTATCACATACTTCACCCACTTAAAGCCTACTCCACTAAAACCTAACCCACTACACCACTACACCTCCACCTACTCATAAAACAACCCACTACACCACTACCACCTCCACTTCACCTCACTCCATTACCTCTACACAACTCACCCTCTTCTATAAATATAGGAATCATGAATCATGTAATAAATATAACAATTAATCAAATATTACATCAATAATACAATTCTCTATTTCTTCTTATACATTCAATTTCAACATGGTATCAAAGCAGGGTTAGAACCTTAATATTTCGCTCACCGACGGGCGGCAACCTCACCTAAAGCCGTCCGCCGGACCTCAACCAAATTCCGCTAAAGTTTTCTACACGCCCTCACTCCCGCTGCCGATATTTCCACCGCCGCTCATCTCTCCTCCGGCCAAATATCCTCTCAAACTCATGTTCTTTTGCCACTGCTAGGCAGTCGGTCTATGCTTACAGGAGTAAATGTGTCAACACCTCTGATCAGAAGGAAACTTTGTGATACTGTCCATACACAAGTCAGATTATGACGACCACTCTGGAAGACTTAGTTGCTCAGTGATGGGTTCCTTAAGATGCCCGCAAGCCGTGGCACTATTGGTCACTAATGCCTGATGTTGCGTATGTCTTTTTGAAGCGTCTGGCAGAAACAGTGTGGTCTGATTAGAATCTGCTTTCGAATGCCCTTACTGCTATTTGTAGCCCTATGTGGGGCCACAGTTGGAGGACTGCTTGCAAGACACAGAGAGGAGAATTGGAACGGTTGAGATGAGCAGTTGCGCAGATCAATGCCACACTAAGAATGCAAGGCAAAGATCGAGTCTTATGCGCCCCACTCGAGTTATGCTCCTGATTAGTGGTAAATACAAGAAGATGAAGTAATTGTTTGAGTCCAAGGAAGCATGAATTATTTACCAATTTGAAATCTGGAAAGAATTTTCTGAGGAATCAAGAATCCATAGAAAGGCATTTGTGGAGTTTAACACTGGCTGTGTTGTTTTGACGAAGAGTCAGAAAAACTTTAAAACACGAAATTCCTCTCTCTCACTTTACTTTTTCAACCCAAGCCTCCTTTTTTCTTTCACACTGATCCCCTTCTTTCTTTTCTTTATTTTCCACTTTCAAACCACAATCTTTTAAATCAACCCACTCAACTTTCTTTTTATTTTAATTATATATCTATATATATATTATGTTTTTAATTAACATACTTGCACAGATTCAACAAAACCCATTTTCTTATTCTTCTTTTCTTTCTTTATTTAGTTCTTTCTTTCATTCATTTATATACACTATACCATATCCATTCATCACACTCTTTCTTTATTATTCTTTTTAATCACCTTTTGCACCTCCCATCACCAACTCCTCACCACAAAATGAGAATTTTATATTCTATTTAATCTTATTCTTTTTTTTTGTGTTCCATTTTTCACAATAAAAAAAAAAAAAACAAAAAAAAACACAAAAAAAAATATATATATATAATATATATAGCTTTGCACACCAAACCATATTTTATTCATCTCAGGGTCAATCCCGCATCACAATTTTTACACAAAAAAAAAAAAAAAAAAAAAAAACCAAAACACAGGACACCCAAACATTTGTTTTCTTTTCTGCCGAACGCCACCCACCGACCTCACTTCTTCGCTATTCCGCCGGTCTTTTTCTTCTTTGCCTCCGTCTTGGGCGGTTCCTTGACGGTGTTGCCTCCGTGTTTTCCACGCCGCCGAGCACGTTCACTCCCCCATACTCCTCCACTGCAGCATATGGCGGACCTCCAAATCGGAACATCACGGTGGCCTTCCGCTTCAGCTCCTTGTTTTCCGCCTTTAGCACACTTATCTCTGCTCGCGCATCCTTATACATGCGTTGGAGCAACGCCAGCTGCGCGTTTAACTGCTGCACCTCATTTGTCCTACTCTGTAGCCGGTGCGACAAGTTTGTGACTGCCGTCATGGTCTCCACACATGACTTCAATGTATACTGATTGGCCTCCACATCCGATTGCCCTGCCATTCTTTGCTCCACAGACCGCATAGGAAAGTTCAACGGAGCAAACTCCGGGGCACTTGGTTGAGGTTCCAGTGCCACCGCACCAGTTTTCTCTCTTGTTGACTCGTTGAGGTCTGGAAAGAGAGTGAGCAGACCACGGGAAGAAGAGGCCATGTTATGGGTTGCTGAGTATTTCGGCTGTTACAGATGTTTCAGATGTTACAGAGAACGAAGAGGTTTCAACTGGTTTGTTATGCTTCCAAGCCTCAGACTTCGCTTTGGTTTATAAAGACAAACACGACGCGGCCGACACGCCGCTCTGTCACTCACGTGCCTCGCCGCGTCTCCGGCTCACCTTTTGATGTCTCAACGCTTTCTGTCGGGCACGACTTTTGATGAAGTGGGCGCGCCTTTTGAGGGCGCGACTTTTGAGAGCTCGATATATATCTCCATGTATATATATATTTGGGCAGCCTATATACACCATCATACAGTGTATTTTCCAACGGTCCGACATGACCCCATAAACTGTCCCGACATTGATTCCGGTTAGCTTTTCCAGTGTCCTCTACCACGTTATGACACAACCATCCAGTGTCCTCTACACCGTTATGACACAACCATCCAGTGTCTTCACCAACGGTCTGACACGACCATACAGTGTCTCCTATCCTCTTTTATTTTATGTATTAGTCTATTTTCTTGTTTTGTTCTTCTCTCCAAACTCAAGTTGGTTAGTTCCTATCCCCCTTGAGTTTGCGGGGGACTGTTAAAACCTATCACCTACCACCACACCTACCATCACCTACTACACCTACCACCAAACCTACCATCACCTACTACACCTACCTTCACCTACTCCACCTACTATCTATTCTTCTCTTCTATATATATCATTGTAAACATAACAACATACATCAATCAATAATATACATCAATATATTTTACACTTAGCTAGCGTTTTAGGGATTCCTTAGGATAAGCCTGATAGGAATAAGAAGTCAATACCATTAACTGGTTTCATCCTCGATTTTGGTTGCCTTATCCATTACCAAGGTTTTATTCATGATTTTCAGCCCATATATGCAATGGTTATTTATTTATTTTTTATTTTTCCCAAATTGACAGCTCAACTGCTGAAATTTTTTATTTCTTTTCTAAACAATCCTTTGACAACCCTTAAGATTATAAATATTTTAATATTTTGTGCACCTTATTGACAACCCTTAGAACTACCATTACTAGGATGAACCGACCACGAGCTATTTATGAGCGATTTGGTTTGTTTGTAGAAAGTTTTTGGAATTACGAAGAAAGAGGGAAAAAAATAATGGAAAAATTATAAATCAATGGTGCCTTCACAAAATATTTACAATTCATAAAAATGTTTATCATTTTAATTATTAAACTTGATAAAATTTATCATTGATTTAATTTTATTTTTTAAAACATGAACTGAATTGCAATTTCTTGTAAAATTATCAAATATACTAGTACACAATGCGGTTATGTGTATACCCATTTTCCACATGAATCCATGATCATGTTGTCTCATTTCTCCAACAAAGTGGTTACATTACATATCTCTCATATGGGAGTTTAGATCCTCTAGAGTTCCTTCTCTAGAGTGATCTCTCTACAGTTCGATCCAATGGCTGAAATTTAGAACAATCAAAATGACCTCATTTTGATTAAGTCTGAAAAAACAAAAACAATGCAGAACGAAGAGAGAGATAGAGAAGAGACCCCTCATTTCCCTCTCAATTGACAAAAGGAGTCCTTTGGTGGTGCAGCAGATTGAAGATTGCTTAGTGAACCAAAAATTGTCTACTTCCTAATGTAGTTGCATTGTGTGCTTCGTTATGTTGCTATTGTTATACTAACTCGCAGTTTGGGATTTTTTTATTATACTAGAAGATTGTTGCTAGCATTGTGTTTTTTATTTTTTCAACACTGTCTACTAGTAAATTTTTGTTTTCCTCATAATAAAGATTATTCATATTTCCCATTAGCTTTATACATTGATTAAGATTTAGATTAATATATGATGAGAGTGAAATCAACATGAATGAAACATTTTTTCCGTTGCTCAATAATTTATACGAGTGATATGATAACATCATAATCCATCATATTATGACCTAAATCTTTTGTTGTTCTCTTTTAGCTTCTATGGCATCAGTGTTTTGGTTTGAGCCAAGCTCTATTATGTATAACATATTAACTTGAGAGCATAAACCAAAAAATGAAACTATGACAAAACTAGATAGAGAAGGCATACATATAAACATATAGAAACCTTGACTAGTTATAAATATTTGATGACATTGCCACAAGCAAAACCACTTTCATGCCTTTTCTAGCTCAACAAAATTCTAGAACATCAAAATAACCTACAGATGTGGCTTTAGTTAAGAATAATTTCTTCTTCCATCCTAATGCCTTTGTCCCCTAACCCCCAAGAAATACATTTCTAATCTTGTGTAGCTCTTTGAGAACATCTTTCACACTCATTCTTTCACTCGGCATTTTAGCAGAACATGAAACTCCAATTTGAAAGACTAGTACTAGGCAAGCCTCTAGTTTAGAAATGTTGGTTGTACTACTTTGCATGCTCCTACTTGGCTCCTCTTCCATTTCCAATATGATTTTGGGATCAACGATCTGCATTACTTGCTCTGGAAGACACATTTTTACATAGCTATGGAGCTTTACATTACCTGTAAACATGTTACTAGTTGGTCCTTTTCCTGTGAACATTTCTAGTAGTAACACTCCATAACTGTACATATCACCTTGCGTTGATACCTCCTCACCCATACCATACTTTGCAATATGAAATGGTGAAAAAAATGCCCAAATTTTAAAATTTTGGTATGATTGTTGAGCTAGTAAGTTGTATTTCTTTTGCTAAAAAAAAAAAGTCCAACATTTCAAAAGATAAAATTATCTCAAGGGTTAAATCTATGTTCAAATACCATAAGGGTAGGACAATTGTTGATTTAATTTGTTGTGGTAGCTATACAAACAATAAGGCAACGTCAAGGAAGTCATCTCTAAAACATGGCTTAATTTCTATATAATCTCGTAATTGGTTTTTAGTTCACCGCAAGATAATAATATAATGTAACTAAATAATATTTCTTAATCAATTTCAACATAAGAAGCAATAAACAATTACCTGGGGCAACATAGCCAATTGTTCCTCTAATCCCAATTGAACTTGATTGCTGATGAATAGAAATTCCATTGGTTGCTGAAAAAATCTTTGCCAAGCCAAAATCACTAATATGGGCACACAAATCACCATCAAGAAGAATATTACTTGGTTTTAAATCACAATGAATAAAAGCCATTTCACAATGATGGTGAAGATAATCCAATGCACATGCCACATCAATGGCAATGTTTAGCCTTTGAACAAAGTTCAAGTTCTTAGGTTCATGTTGCTCTAAAAGACTTGGGTGTAACCAATTTTCTAATCTCCTATTTTCCATGAACTCGAAGACCAAAGCCTTGAAGTCGTTGCCTTTAAAATCAATGCTTGAGCAAGCTGTAATTATCTTGACAAGATTTCGGTGGTGAATGTTCTTCAGTGCTTCACATTCTGTTACAAAACTCTTGTGTGCTCCACATTCATGTAGGTTGAGTACTTTCACAGCAAAAATTTGTTCATCCGAGTTGAGAATCCCCTTATAGACATAACCATGTCCTCCCTTACCAATTAAGTTGGCTGCAGAGAATCCACTGGTTGCTTGAAAAAGTTCTCCATAAGAGAGTTGTGGATATTGGTTTTTCAACTGTGAGGCTAAATTGACTTGTTGTCTTGACCTTCTGTTCCCGTAAAGAATAGCTAGAATGCACAATGATAATACAACAATAGTGAGAGTAACTACTAGAACTATTACTCTATGGTTGGAAGGTCATTTCCTTTCATTTAAGACTTCCATCGGGCATGCAAGCAATTGCAATAGTTTAATTCCTCCGCATAGTTTACTATTTCCAACAATTGAGAAGGCACTAATGTTTGTGAAAACTCCTCCATTCGGAACTTCACCATCAAACATATTGTAGGAAAGATTGAGATATTGAAAGAACCGAAACTCCCCAAGAAACCTTGGAATTTGTCTAGACAAGTTGTTCCTAGAAACATCTAGTTCTTGAATACCTTTCAATTGTCTGAAAGCCATCAGAATTGTACCTTCGAAAAGGTTACCATCAATGTAGAGGAATTCTAAAACTTCACAATTGCCGAGAGTGGCGGGGATTTCTCCAAATAGTTTATTTTTTGATACATATAGTTGTAACAACCCTCACCACTGTTTACCGATAAACTACCGATTACTGCTAAACTGAGACTAATTATGAAAAGTAATTGAACTGATTGAAATACTGAACTGACTGATTGAAATCTGAAACTGATTGATTGACTGTATCTGTTTAAATGCATTATCTATCTGTTGACTATTTGATTATCTGTTCATGTTTTATGTTTAAATTGCGAATTGAAGGCCTCATCGGCGGCCGAATCGGAGATCGATTAGTGTTTCATGATCATCATAATTTATGTGATTTTATGGTGTAATTATCTGAAAACTGATTTGGTATGATTAAATTAGATTAAAATGAGCTAAATTACATAAGTTACTGTATTTACCAACTTGCCCTATTAGTGGACCACTATCTAGCATCTATTGAAGCCTTATTGCATTACAACAAAACATTTCATCAGCCTATTTTCTTGAGAGCAACCGACTAGAGAGAGAGTCTGGAGAGAAGATTGTTCATCTAGAGAATTGGCTTGAAAGACTTGAAGAAATTGTAGGAGATTTGCCTAATTGAACTTCTACACTTGTAATTGAAGACCTAGGTAAGGAATTCAACTTCTTAATAGTGTCTTTAAGTTGATTCTTGCCCGATTAATGGGTCTTTAGTGATCTAAGGCTTGAATTGGTTCAATAGTGTTGAATTAGAGCTCAATTGTTGCATGCATGCCTATATTATTGAATTTTGAGTTGATTCCATGGTAAATTGTCACATGCATGCTCATATTTATGTCAAGTCCATGAATTCATCTTGTCTTTGAAGATATTAGCTCAATAGAGCATATATTTGAGGCTTGTAAGTTGTTTAACTTCATGCATGTTGCATGTTCATCTTGTTCATGAAAATTGGTTTGAAATTGGGTTTAATTCCCTCACCTTTGGCCCTTGATTTTACAAATTGAGTTTTGAATCATGTTAAACTATGAGTTTTGAAGTGTTTTCCAGGAAATGGGCCCGAAGGAATCGAATTTGATACATTTGAAGTTGAATTTGAGCTTGAGGTTCAAATCTAGGAATTCCAGATTTTGGACTCACGCTCGAGCGGGGTGACTGGCGCTCGAGCGTGAAGTTTGTACTCCTAGTATTTTGCACTGTTTTGATGTCCGCTCGAGCAGGGTAATTGACGCTCGAGCGGGAACTTGTGTCTTACGCTCGAGCGGATGTCAAGCGCCCAATCGAGCGTGATTTTCACCTATCCAGCACTTTTGACTGTTTTGCAGTACGCTCGAGCGTCTAAGTCTGCGCTCGAGCGGAAACCTTTGTCTGTATTTCTGCTCGAGCGGAGTAATCGACGCTCGAGCTGGAACCCTGTTTTTTGAAAATTCTGAAAATACTTTTAAAGTGCATCTTTGCATCCTCATTTCATCCTAGGCATTCTTAGGCCTAGTTTAAGGCATCTTAATGAGGATATAGATGTAGAACCACACCGAGTCAAGATAGCGATTAAATTATTATCTTTCCCAACTGTGTAGCTTAGTGTGTGTTCAATCTGTAAACTGTGTAGAGTTGGCAACCAGGGACGCGCTCTAGCCTGACTGTAGCCCAGAACTCTGTGAGTAACAACTGTGTAAAGATATGTTCAAAAATGATTATCTTCTGAACAATTGAACTGTACTGTTTCTGAATTGATACTGTTAATAGAATGAATGTATGTCCTCTATTCTGAACTGTATTGTGGCATCCTTAGCAACTACTGTTACTGACTGTTACTGTTATAGAGATCTTTGTCGGTTCCCTTGTTGGAACCACTACTGTTTACTGATTGATGGGCATCATTGACTGTTCGGTCTTTCAAGACCTACTGTTTACTGTACTGTTATGCTAATGGATGTACCACATATGACTGTACTGGCTGAACGACTGAAATACTGATTTAATGAACTGTTTTGATTACTGTAAGGACATTCATTCTAAATCTCTTTACACATTATGTTATTCACTGGGCTTTAGCTCACTGCTCATATATATATGTAGGTGTACAGGCACCAGACCGCAGCTAGAAGCGTCGGGGTAAGCTCCAGTTTTGTCAAGCCAACCACTGTGCCTCACTGTGAGGTTTCGAGCCTGTCAAGCAATGGCTTAGGGGTGTTTTAATTCGGCCCCGTCTGTCTCTGTAACTGTTTTGTTAACTGTATAGACTGTTACTGTACTGTTTATCAGGGATTAGATCCCTGCTCTGAATGATTATAAATGTCGTACATACTGTTCTGCACTGTGTGTATATATATATATATATATATATATGAAAAGTCTTTTTGGCATACAGACTGTCACAGCTCATTGGACATTGTTTATTTACTGTATTGGCTTCCGCCAGGCCCCTGTACTCTGTTTTACTGTATTACTATTAAGCAGGCCTTCGGTAATCTCGGATTACTGGCTGGTTACGGTGCTAAACCCATAGGGGCGGGTTTGGGTCGTGACAATAGTCCACCTAGATTTTTCAAGTTATCCACTTCTTGTGGTAGTAGTCCTGTCAAGTAATTTTGACTCAAGGATAGACTGGTGAGGGAAGACAGACCAAAGATTTGATAACGTATTGCTCTTGTGAGATGATTGTAATAAAGATGAATTTGTTGTAGATTGGTACAATTGCCAAAAGAAACAGGAATGCTTCCTTCAATCGTATTTGTTGATAGGTCAAGTATACTGTGTGGGAAATTTTCCGACCACACTGCGAACTCAGTAATTCAGCTGGAGAGCACTGGCAGAATAGATGGCACCTGACTGACCTGCAACAGAAATATAAGAATCCCGCGGTGGTTCGTCCACCCGGGGGCACTCCGACGATCAAGTCAGTATATCTCTCAAAGATAATCAATTATTCAACTCACAAGCTTGAGCCTAAAAAGCATACCTTAGACCCATGGGGGTGCCTCTCTTTTATAGCCAACATAAACCTAGTCCCAATAGAAGCCTAGCTTCAATGGACTCTTGCTCAGTGCTTATTCTGGACTCTCCAAGAGATAAAGATAAACTCCCTAAGAGTGTTATCCTTATCCATGCTAAAGTCCTTCCTCATTCTAGGACTCTTGTGCCTTATCCGCTTATCTCGGATTCCGATATCTTCGGAGATAACTCGCCTGCCGAAGATCAACCTTCGCGTCACCGACCAGACAGACACGTGGCACATTCGGCTGACAGTCGGTGTCATCTTTTGCGCACTGTTGTACTGTCAGAAAATATATCCCCACAACTGCCCCCTAGGTTCTATTACCGCGGCATTCTGAGGTGATGGAACCTACACTGTTCTTTCATCTGTGCCCCTCTGTCCGAGATCAAACTTGCCGACCTCAAAGTTCCCTGGACTTTACTGTCCACTGGTGTCAAGAATCAAGTTTCATGCTTTCCAAGCTGCTTGAAATCGCACCTCCTAGCCGAGGTTCTGATTCCATTAATTCGTAAACTCCAAGAGCTTTGCAACTGCTCCACTCACACTCTCTGGTGAGTTCCCGATTTCCAGTCATCTATTTGACTCCGGCGATTTTCATATCGGCATTTATTTCACTTGGTAGGATCATAAACTCTTTACTTGCTATTAAGCTCAGTCTTTCATAACTCTTCTGAATCTGTTTATTTGCCATCTGTTGCCTTCTATTTTCGCCTGTCTTCAAGTTTTGAATTGTTTGAATGCCTGGCACTGTTCTTGTCATATCCGTTTTCTGTTGCTAGCATCGTGTCTGGGTCATTACTTTCTTGTTCTTCACATACTTACTTAGTGCCTGTGCACTTGGCTTTATTCTTTGACTTTCCATATCAAACTAGTGCCTACCCTTCAAATTAGTCCAAAGGATTCTTGAACTAGAGCAATCTCGTAATAGATGCTCAATGTTTTCAACAAGGGAATCACATCTAGGGCAATTGGCATTCCCCGTAAACCCTCTTCTCATTCTCATAGCATTAGTCAACAGTTTCCCATTAAAAACCAACCACACGAAGCCTTTGAGCTTTTGTGGGATTTTTAATTTCCAAACCCAATCCATGTCACAGAGGTTATCCCTTTGATTAGAATGAATTTATAAGCAGCAACAGTGGAGAACTCCCCACTTGTTGAACCCTTCCAATGAGGAAAATCGGAGAAGGTAACAAACCTGGGAAGTTTAACTTTTAGCACACAATCCATGGCTTCATTAGGAAGATGAGGTTTGATAGAATCCACATCCCATTCACCCTCATCAGTTATATGATTATCAACAGTCTCCATGTTAATGGAATCCCAATTTGGGTATTGAGATGCTAAAGTAGCCTCCCCACACCACCAATCATGCCATATTCTCACTTTAGTGCCATCACCAATGCCCCATTTGATGCAATTTCTCAAAATGTCTCTGGTTTTAAGAACTCCTCTCCAAATTTGAGAGGAGCTCCTTCTACCAGAATAAGAGAGAAAATTATCATTCTTCAAATATTTGCTTTCCAACACTTTCGCCCACAAACAATTGTCCTTGCACAATAATTTCCACCCCAACTGTTAACTGCCCAACTGTTTTGCGCCATGGTGTGATTTACACAGATGCTAGTAAAAAGGTATTTACATGGCATCTTTCAAAACATCAAACCCTAAACACTCATTCATCTCCTTTCATCGTGTAACCCATCCCACATTCCTCTCTCTCTCTCTCTCTCTCTCTCTCTCTCTCTCTCTCTCTCTATCTTTTGTTTTTAATC